CTCATGAAATAGCCTATGAAAAAATTTCACCATGAGTTTACAAAATTTGACAGGCACTCTTTACAAGAGTTGAGAGGTGGTCCCGACAACTTTGGATGGTATGTTTCGTGGCTTCACAAGATTTCACAGGTCTCCATTTACTGGCTCGACACGTCGATGGTAAGTAGCAAAAGTGCAAATCCCCCCCCCCCCTCCGTCGCCGAACTGCGCCTACTTTTAGTTGTATGGAGGTGTCTTTGTAGGCTACTGCGGGACATTACACTGTAGGTCTGTTTTTATCAGTCGTAGGTATAAATACATTGTATTACAGTTTACAGCTACACTTAACAGTTAAGAATCAGTATATTCCGGTTGAAGATTTTAGTACTATCAGACTGACTTCAGTTGAAATCTGAAGAATTATCACGGCGAAAGCTAACCTGCGAAATTTGATCGAGTAAGTGATCGAGTTCTCACCGATTATTTCTAAAGAATAGTTTGGTTCAATTAAAACAAAATACAAAATCAACACTATTGGAAGAAGCTGTGACGAGTGAATGCAACAAGTTTACTACGATCGGTCGAGTAAACAGGTCCACAATAAAAGCGAGACGTTGAACCAACGGAAACCAGCGCCCCAGTGGATAAACAAAGTCGTTGATGGCACCATAGCAGTTGCCGGCGATGAACACGACACTGAGCGCTATCGTAAGGAAACATGAACTTCTGGCGAAAGGACTTTACTATAGTGAGAATAGCAATAGCAGTTTTAATGCAGGAGATTTCCGTCCTGACCAGTTTTATGTTGCAATGGATGCTGCACGACAAATTTCAAAAATTAAATCGGACAAATTTTATTGCAGAACACTCCAAAGCTTCGAATGAATTTAAAAGTTCTTGCGAAAAAATCACTTCTATCTCTTCCTGCGGATATTTTATTTTTATTTCTTCCTTTGGATAGATTAAATATTCGAAAGGGAAGAAGAGAACGAAATTTTTTGCAAAAACTGTGAATTTTCAGAGCTTTTGCAATAAAAAAGTTGGGGCCTTTTTTTTCACATACAGATTCCAATGAGGCTCCGGGACAGCACAATACTACAGAAAATCTTGAGTACTATTCAACTAATACTACCCTAGAATCTCAATTTTTCCACTGGAACTTCGCCTACAAGGCTAATTCGTACCCTGATTAAGAATATCGCATTCGTTTGTTACACGCGCCCTTTAGCGCCACTACTCTTCACACCAGAGTCGGGCATAGTGGGGGTTGTTCGATGTTCCGATCACGAATATGACATTCGTTTGACACAACATCGCTAAGGCAGCGTTCAGATTCCGCGACGACAGCGCTGTCGCGATCGATACAGTTGAAAGCATGCGCATCGAACGCGCGATCGAAGCGCTGCCATCGCGAAGTCTGAACGCTGCCTAATCGCCCACGTTACAGGGAGCGGAGAAGGGATATAGAGACGTCACTGAGTGCCCTCGTCCCTCCCTACCAACCGCATCAGCGTGGAAAGTATTTGTGGCTCTCTTCACGAGTGCTCTGCTGCCCAGCATATCGTGGAATGTCTGCTCATAGCTTTACAAAAGTTCACAGGACCCTCCAAACTTCCCGGCAGAGGGGCACAGATGTTCTTACAAAGCGCCTCTCCCGTAGGGAATAGCGTCGAAACGAGGAGATAACGCTACTTTTTTAACTCATCACAAGCGCCGGAAATCAGGAGTGGTTGGTAATCCCAACACCAACAGAATAGAGAGGCACTTATAGCACACCCCTACGACAAGCTAAAAGGCAGGCTAACCTAATATGCGCAGCCATGTCACCCCAACAACCGAGCTCAATACAAAGCACGATTACGTCAGTACGTCTAGTAGCAGCTGAACAACAGAGGGAGGGGCGGAACCGAAGACCACTACGCAACCAGCCGAAATTTCGCGCTGTGCCGGGGCAAAGGACGCGAATTCGATGGACTTTGTTCGTTGCGGAGCGTTCGCTGTGTGTAATCATTCAAGATTATCAGCAGTGTTGGGGCAAAGTAAAACACGGACACATACATTAAAACACTTTCGGAAGTGCAAGGACGAACCGTCCATCCGACCTTATTAACTGACCTAAAAACTCATTTGAAGGACGATACTGTTCATAAACGCAGCACTGCTCCCGCTTCCACCTCTGCTATTACACATGTGAAATTATATGAGAAAACCATCTCTGCATCAACTGACACCATGAAAACTAGAGTGAAATACCATCTCGACGTAAATTTTTACATAAACAAAATCAAGTAAAGCCCAGGCACGTCACGTCGGATGTTAACAATCTGGGGATCAAGTATCATGGATAGTGGGTGAAAGTTGTGAACTAGTAACTGATAAGTGCTCTTCAGAGAAGAGAAAAGCGAAAAGAATTTCCAAGATTACCAAAAAATCGCTCCCTGACAGTCATACAGCCTTTGTACAAGTTCTCCGGACTTGCTGGTCACTGGACGCCCCACGTCTCTATGCAATCCCTGGCTCACAAAGTCACTTAGCTTTTTTTCATCTTTTAGTACTTAATATCATCTAATACAAAGAAGGGAAAACGAAGAACAGCAAAAACGCTGCAGTAGAACTCGTAACAGAAAGGAACTTTCAAAAACCCGAAGTGGATTTAGGACTATTTTAGAGATACACGTCGAGCTTTTGCACCAAAAACTGCATCACTGGTGACTTGAACCCTTCTTACCTTGCCAGATGGATTACTGTTGATTTTATGGGCTCCTAATGAAGAAAATGTAATCAAAGAGAGCAGAATTATTAGAGAGCACGAGCAAATGGACAGCACCGCCGCCCCAACAAACAACAACTGAACCACCTGCGTTACGTGTGATGAAGCGGACATTCGTTGGGTGGGCGGTCCAACTGAGCGGGTGTTAGAACTAGAACTTTCGGCGACTATAGGATCTTCTCCACTTGCTGTGGAGTCGCGAAGGTGGGGCAATATCTAGTTTGCGGGCTGGACCACTTGCAAAGAAAGAAGGACCATGAACTGCTTGAGCACGGGGTCTAACTTTAAACTCGGTCAACTAGAAATGCTGTCGCGAATCAGATATTTCCAAACTACACCCGATTGTAGGTTGACAAACTAGTTTGAAATTATATTCAAAACAATATTTTAGGTTTTTTTTACCGAGCTCAACTGTGAAGTTTACTGTGAAGAGAGAACTGGCTGAGTTGGTATTTATTGAGGTACTTATGAAGTTTTAGCCCGCTGGCTAAGGCACAAACAGTAAACCAGGCAATCAACAGTGCGGACAAAAATGGAACAACTGCAACAGAAATGAGAAGAAATGAAGAAATAAGTGAGAACAGCTTGAAAGTATCTCCGAAGGAATTACCACGATAAGAGAGGGAGCTTCATGTCGAAAAAAGTAACACTTAGGAAAGACTACCGAAGTCAAGTTGACGTTTATTGTGATTAGGAAAGCTGGCCAGGTACGAAAAGTGCCGAATGTCAACTTCAGACCAAGCGGATGCGTTTTGATAGTCGATGGGCATCTCACGCCTCAGGCCCCATCGGTTACGATAAGATTCGACGACAAATGGGCATTGTGGCCAATTACACAGACGGGACTACAGTGGTCTGGCCACTTTAATCGCATCTGTTGCGCATCACGGTGAAGGCAACGGCCACCTGGCCCAAGGATTGCCGAAACACGCTGGCAGGACATACAGTCATAGCCGCTGCGGATGGTGCGACCTGAAGGGGGGGGGGGAGGGCTGAATATGGCGCGGCGCCAGCACGTTTTCCAGGAACTGTTATCGTTTTCTCCTCCTCAACAACTAGAGGAGGACAAGCTGATGTACATGTCACTGCTCTTGTCCTCCCAGACAAATCTGGTACCAGTCCACCGTCCCCAGGGGTAGAAGGCTTGGGCCTCAGCGGGAGCCGATG